AATAGGAAAACATTTAGATGACAACTGAATACTTACCGTTGTCTTGTTGATGGTGGTGGTAGTAGTGGTGGTGGGGGGTCTGTGAAAGTCACCACACATCACTGCTATGTTGCTAATCTTGCTCCTTTTGTCAGCTCTGGCAAAACAGTCTTTTCTGGTTGATACATTTCTACCAATCTGCCAGCAGTAATGTAAAATGCAGAGCAATAGAAACATTTTCCCAGCAATTGTAGCATTATTCAGCATTGGGTAAATTTGTTTTGCAAAGGCTTGAAAGTAATGGCTATTACTGTATACATAAAAGTCACTTATTCCAGCGCTGACTGCATCATTGAGGATATCAGTTGTAAATTGCTAATTGTCCTAAAACTAAAAGGGACATTGTAAAACACCAAAAAAAAGATGCTGAAGAGAGCTGTCTGTGTCTTCCAATTGTTGATCCAACAAAAGCATGCTGGTCTAAGTCTCCAGTGACAGATTATGTGTGTTTGAATACGGTCTCAGGAGACCTGGGCACACAGTGAATATGCAAATAAATCTACAGACAACCAATTACGCTGAAAACTTTTCAAACAACTCTTCAAACCACAAGGAAGAGACATGTTGCAACTTGAAAAACACAAAGAGAGTAAGAAGTGAGAGAGTGAGAGTCACAGTATGAAGATATTTTGACAATGTATGAGTTTACATTCAACACTAGATTATAATGGCAACACTTTAAAACACAATGACCTGCCAGTGCGTTTATAGACCATATAAAATAGGTACCCAGTAATCATCTATCCAATGGAAAAATGATGGGTTATGTAACATTTCTATATTACATTGATTAGTTGTGTGTTTACATGCCTGTGTTGGATAATGGAAATGAGTTAAGCAGAATTAGCGTTGGCTTCTCTGTGGGAGTTTTTTACAGATAGTAAAGCCAATTTTCCAGTGACATTAATAGTGATTAATAGTGCTGTGTTGTCAACGCTGTTTGATCGGACACAAATGGAGAGGCAGTTTGGTGGGAAGATTCCTAAAAAAGAGCCAGAGTCAACACAAAGACATGCTATTTGTTTAACAAGAACTATAGAAGGAGACTGACCAGCAGCTGGATGAGTAGAATAGAAAATGAACAGAAATAGAATAGAAATATCCTTTGATGTCCCTCATTGGGGAAATTCAGGTGCGTAGAGCATGCAGATTCACACAAAAATAAAAATAAAAAGGAAAAAATGTACAGTTATTAAAAATAGCATACTCGGATCCAAAGAAATGTGCAACTGAGTAAGAATCTTTTTTAAATGTGCAAAAAGTGGTGTATATTTGTGCTTTATAAACAATGACAGACTATTTACAGAAAATGGAAAAACTGTGCAAATGACAGCAGGGATGCAAACAACTTTTTGTGTTTGTTGGGAGCAGTGATGGTTATAAAGTCTAACAGCTGCTGGGAGGAAAGACCTGCGATAACACTCCTTTGTACACCTAGAATACAGCAGTCTGTCACGGAAGATGCACTCCACTTCTGCAACAGCTTTATGCATGGGTTGGGGACATTGTTCAAGAGTGATGTGATTTTTGCCAAAGTTCCTCTACCACCTCCTATAACCTGCACTGGGTTGAGGGGGAATCCTAGCACAGAGCTGGGCTTCCTGATGAGCTTATCCATCTGCTTCCTCTCAGGTGTAGATAAGCTGCTATGCATTAATTAGGGGAGTCTGCATAAACTTTCATGGTAAATTAAAAAATTAAAATGGACTCCAGAAGACCAAAAAGGTGGCTTGCGATATCAGGAAGCACAACTCTATCAGCATGTCCTATAAGTCCTGATGAGCCCCAGCTGACATGCTGTTTGGGAGATGCTCTGACACAGTAGTCTAGCAATTACACTCTTGTTTAACTGTATAGGTGCTTGACACTTGTCCATTTCCAGTGCTTCCAACATTAAGTTCTAGTGCTCATCCAATGCAGTTTCATGAATGTAATAAATGTTGTTCACCTCACCTGTCAGTGTTTTTTAATGTTGTAGATGATCGGTATAATCACCATGCTCAATATTTTTATATCTGAAGCAAAAATGCTGTTCTCTTCAGCTTCCCAACAGTGCCAAAAACTGTTTTCCTCAGGTGCTGAGAAGATGTGAGAAAGTCCTTGTTTATTCATGTTTCCAGCTATCTCTAGTGATCTTACTTGTTCGGATCCCCATGAGTTTTCTGCATACAGTAGGAAAATCCTTATGAATAATTTAGATAAAAGATAAAAATGTATGTTTACTGCTTTGGCTGCTTCATATGCTAATCCAAACATTTCTATTTCACCTAGGGATCTTCTGTGGATCTGAGAGAAGCGTTTTACAGTGCATACTCCCCTCACCTTTGAGATGTTGGAGAGCTCGACAGAGACCAGGAAATCGAATGGAAGAAACAGAGCAATGTTTGTGTCTCAGCCTCAACATTACACCTCAATCTTTTATGTAAAATCTGCTGTTTTCCATTTCATACGCTTTCCCTTTCCAAGCCTTGATTTAAATTGGGCATGGCCACTTTAAAATCTTTGCATTTACTGTACAGTGGCCCAGAGGCTCAAGCTGTCCTCTGGGATCCAAACCTAATGAATGGTTAAGCTGACAGTCATCAGCAAGTAGCGAGCACTTTTTTGCATAAATCTGGGCACTCCCCTCACAGCCTTTGGCATGTCAATAAACGGAGTAGTAGAGGAGGAAGGATTGTGGCAAGCGGTGGAGGGGGGGATTTTTTTGTACTTGTCAACTCTGTCTTGTTCCACTCATTAAGTACAGTGAGATTAAGCTGGTGTTGAGACTGAGGGGGAGCTGTGGTTCATGGCAGGTTGAATTGGCATGCATGCAGTGGGCTCAGTCAGAAGCTCATCATAGGTCTATGAACAGGCAGGGCTGGGAGGAAAACAGACAATTAAATCAATAATTCGGCAGTCAGGAGATCACTGCACTGGCTGCTGCTCCCTGTCAGCCTTTACGAAGAAAAAGTAATATGAAGAAGACTTTCTTCTCTTCATATTCAAGTTGCTTATATAAGCTAAGAATGATGAAACCTTTGTCCTGTGTCAGGAACCTGCTATGACATCTGTTTCCCAACTTCAACCTTTAACTCTGAAATAATCAAAGCATATGTAACAAGCTGTGCTTTAAAGGACGAAATTCACTTTAAGACACATCATAGTTTGAAAACTCCTCCTTCATCACTAAATAAAAATCATAGAACTTACTCTAAAATTTGCAGTTAAAGTGGAGTGTACACTGACAAAAATTTAGTCTATGACAAAACTGACTCTCAGTTGGGGTTTTATCATTTTATGTTAACCAGCAGTATTAGAAGCTGTGGAGCCCCTCGAGATTCAGCTTCTTTTTCACAGCCCAAAGTTGCCCAATCATATTGAAATATGGGGAAATTTGAGGTGAACGCGACATCTTAAAGTCTTTGTTACGTTGTTCCAGCCGTTATATGTAACAGCATGCAGTTGTGACACCACTGGATTCAAGTATCTGTCTGTGCCCTGTTGGGAATGAGAATAGACTGTTGTCGTTTCTCTGAGGCCAACTTTTGATGCTTTGGAGCCAGCGGGTGGGTGCTTTTGATCATGGACATTGCCTTTGTTGCCCTTATGCTTCTGGTCACTGAAGTCTAGTCTATGCTTTGTGTTTTGTCGTGGACTGCAGAATGAAACTGGGACAACCCAGCACCTCTGTGAATCTGTTGTTGACAGATAAGAATTGATTATGCAGAAAATAAGCCTAAAAGTTTTTGCACAGTACTGTTGGCATCCAGTAAACGTAGACATAGAAATAACTGTCCTGGCACAAGCTTGGCTAATAGAGGCCACTTCAGGTTTTCTCTCAATGGAATTTTCGTTTCATTGCTTTTTAAATGTTTGATATTCTTTACCAGCAAAAGCGTTATAGATCTTTTACAATTTTATCTGTATCCTGCAGCATTTCACCACTTAACTTTGGCAAAACTTCTATTTACAACATTTTTTGGAATACCAGTCAACAACTAAATAGAAGAAGAAGAAGAAGAAGAAGAAGAAGAAGAAGAAGAAGAAGAAGAAGAAGAAGAAGAAGAAGAAGAAGACTGGTACAGTGTCTGCAGGTTTCAGCGACTGTTAAAAGAGACTTTACTTAAGCATGAAGCAAGAAGCAGGAAGAGGTAAGAACAAAACTAAAACATGTATATAAATCATAACAAGATGATAATAATAGGATCATATATACATGAAGAGTATTTTTTGTGTTTTGGCTTTGATCAGTTTGGACAGCTTTGATGTAACTTCCTCCCCCTTTAAAGCAGAAACCCTTTTTCTCCAGAAACAACATTTAATCTTTTTTCATATTTATGTGTTTTCTCTGTTAGAAAACAGGATACAATATATTATTAATCCTCTTAACTTAAAAAAAAAAGTAGAATAATGTGAGAAACTTAAGAAGTCTGGAAAATCAATATTTCTCTTTCTCCAGTGTGGTATTTTTCTATCTGTGCCTCTCTATTACTCCCTCCCGTCATTTCATTTTCTGTGTTGTCTCGGATTCTCATTAACACCGCTGCCCTGTTGGCTCTTCGTCTCCCCGATCGCCCCTTTGTGAAGCTACATAGCCACTTCTTTGCTTGATTCAGCCCATCTCACCACCTTTCATAAACAATGTGTCAGATGTATGAAAGTAATGGGGGGGTAGGAGACATCCAATTAAAAGCACAATGCATTATTATTTCACAGCTCCCCGTCTCTGCCATCTGCAAAAGCCCTTCATATTATATAACAGCTCCGTGTCAAGAGAGCCAGCCTGTGGAGGACAAGTTGAGGGGGTCTTCACCGATGATGCAGCTCGCCAACTCTGGACTTTCCTCAGCAGCTTGCGTACTACCCCTCACTCCTCCCCCTTCTTCCCTTTGCCATATCCACCCACCCATCCACCCACCAGCCCACCCTCTCCCTGCCTTTCTTACGCACACATACACACATACACTCAATCACGAATGCACAGGGATTGCAGCAGCAGCAGCAGCAGCAGCAGCACTGCGAGATGGAGATCTCCGCTGCGTGTGTGAGTGCCTGTTCCCGGTGAGTGCAGGGACAAGAGCAAACGAGTGTCAGTGATGCTTGAATGAGGTGTATGAGGGAGAAGAGGGGGAGAGATCGGTGTAAAAGCCAGGAGGGGGGTGTCAGTGAGGACCCGATCAGGTTTTGAGGCAATGTCTGTCTGCTTCTTTCCCTCTTCTATCCCTATAACCTGAATCTTTGCCGGATGTGCCACAACTACTCCAGCTGTCACTGCACCGGCTGCCTCTCTCTCAGCACTCCCGCAGCCTGTGAGAGCTGCTCCAGTGGCTGGACGGTACCCTGGCACCCACTGAGTACATGGATGAGCAGTGGATCTACAGGGGATCTGTGCTATCTTGTCCTTTGCACCTTTGATCTGTTTCTCAAGGTAAGAGTTACTTCTTTTTTTCTTTCTTTTTTTTTTGAGTTGCACACACATTCACAGGTATTGTGATAAAAGTGGGTGATTCGTTTAGTCTGCCTTTTAAAAATGTTACTAAATCAAAATGTCAAAGGCATGCACGTATTCTGATAGAAATTGGTTAAAGTCCTTGTGTTGCATGCATGTGTATATCCCTGCATGCATTAGATATGGATAAATTAGGGAGGGGGCATTTCTGCATCCAAGCATTTCAAGGTTTTATGACTAATCAGGAGAACACGTCAAAGGTTTTTCTCCACATCTGAAAATGAAGATGAATAGTGATGTAATTCGACTTTGATTAATGTACTTATCATTATGCATATCTTTGCAGCCTCTGACAGACATGCAGTATTTATCCAGTGAGGCATAGGCTGATTATCGAGATTGCTGTACTTGGGAATTGTCTGGGCTTGATAGTGAGGAATATTGATGAGCGCTCACTAATAGACTAGTGTAAAGACTATTGCATATTGTCCTGTCAGAATGATGATCATTTACGAAAAAGCACCTATTGTAAGTAATGCGAACTATGTAAGAAATTCATATGCGGCGACTGATGTCCTCCTCAAGGCTGAATTTGATGAAAGGTGGATTCAGCCTTATCATGACTAAGGACATGTGTGATCTCGGATCTCTTGGGGTACTGCATCACATCCAGAGCTGCACTTGTATTTGGTGTCAGCCGTAGCCGCCCCCCCTCTCTCTCTATCCCTCTATTTTCTACACGTCAGTCCTTGACTACCAGAATTCACAGGAAACGTAGATATGGCACGGCTTTAAGGCGCCCCGCACAGAAGCAGCTTGTCTATTTAACCATCGTTTTCACTTGTTGTCTTGTACATGACACCTGAGTTAATCATCAGGTTTACCTGAGTAAACACGTATGCCCAAATCCCAGCCAGTTATTAATCAGTGAACTCATTAGGGAGATGTACTATAGATTTAACTGTCAAAGGGAAAGATGGACTTTGCCATTCCTTCATACAAGAAGAAGCCCACCCTGGCAGTAGAGCATGTGATTGCCAAAAAAAAAGACCTTCTTCATGTCACCCTCTTCAAACTTCCTCTTCCCAAGGATCCATTTCACAGCCCGTGCTCTCAGAGATAAAGGGATGGGAGCTTTTTTTTAAAAACGCTATTCGTCTATAACAGAAAGTGCTTCACAGTGATAAATTTTTGAAGCCAATAAAGTCATAAAGCAAACTTTTACAGGTGTAGCCTGCAGCCAGTATAGGTACAGATAGCTGGACGACAGCAGGAATGAGATGGTGTGCGTGTGTGATGCTCTCAAAACGGGCTGGGATGTCTTTCAAAAACTGAGGACGAGACTATATATTCCACCAAAGCGGTCTACAATGTTGCTGGAAGAAGAGGACTATTGAGAAAGCATTACTCGAGCGTGGACCAACTAAGGCAAAACCTGTACACAGCCTCAAGGACTATCAAAGGGAAAGACTGCGAGGTGACATCTCGCCCTTTACATTGTGCTTATTAAGGCAAAGCTGGTGCAATGTCATTCTCTTTAATTTATGCTAATAGTGAGTAAAAATTCCTCATTTAAAGTGGATGCATTGCACAGTAACGACGCACACAGTATAATACACAGTGAATGATGAGCACAGCAAAATCCCATCTTATAACAAAAACAGGGGATTTACTTTGCAGTACTCCAGTGTTTTAGAAGTCATTAGTAAAATCACGAGCCATAGCATCAAAGAGCATTCACTGTTTATGTTGCGTTCAGTAAATTCGTGTTTGAAGAGTAGGAGGCTACGATAGTTACTCAACCATTAATGAGAGTGGCCAGACAGTGTTCTCATATGTAAATATCCCACAGATGCACTTCAGTAATTATTGTGTTGATGCAGGCTGACAAGGATGTAAGGCGATCCGAGCAAAGCCGTCTCTTTCTCTCTGCTTTGCGTTGGGGCATAAATCATGAGTCAGCAGTGTTGCAGGCCTACTATTGCACTGAAAAATGGATCCAAACACCTATCAACATTCTTCATTAACAGTCACGTTTCTACCGCATTGTGATCACGATAATCAATCATGTTAGTGTAGCTAAAGGTGAGTTTTGTTTTGTTTTTTTTCTCATACATGCAGTATTTTAGGTTGAAGAACTGAAGGGCAATTGGAACAGACAACATGGTCTGCCAGGGTACATAAGGAGATTTCAGAGGATTACTTTTGCAATTTTAGAGTCAATGCATTATTCATAATCCTTTGGATAGCTGAGGCCAAATCAGGGAAGGACCTCAGGTCATTAGCAGAGATAGCTTGCTTTGAGGAGGACGAGAAAGAAGATGACGAGGAAAAGGAGATTCTCTTTCAGCTGTTTGAATATATCCATGTGTGACAACAGTCTCTCTCTCAGCAGGGCTTTCGTCTCGCTCTCACTCTGCGTATCTGACTTCCAACAATAATAAGTCACTGAAGAGCTTTTCTAGAGTCCCTTTATGTGAATTACCATTTAACTCCTTAGCATGCCTTACATGACTGCATAAGAAATTGTATGCACTTATAAGAGACTTCCTGCAGATGTGATTACCTTTTCAGCTGTGTGAGATTGGTATTTCTGAGTGTGAAATAGCATGAGCCCATGTGAAACAGCTGTGAACAAATGCTTTTTTTTTTCCCCGTAGAAATGCCTCTGACAAACATCTCGCGCTCGAATCAAAGTGCATACTAAGCTATGTTTCAGAACAAATACCAGCGTCCAATAAAATTCATCTGCTCCATACTCCAAAACAACTGTGCGTAAATTCATGACACAGCAGACCATATTGTTTTTGTGCGATGAGACTGAGCTCGTTGCCTGCTTTTCTTTTTTTTCTTTGCCTTTCTTTTTCCTCGTTTGGCACCGAAAGCGTCGCACTGACTAAAGTGACGCTAAGAGCTGTTGGCATGTATTGTTTTCTAGCATTGACAGGAAGCAAGATGAAACATAGTGTCCTCTAAATATATTCCATTTCACCAACAGTTAGAGCTGAGGGTTAGGTTAAAGTGGACACTCAGCAAGGTGAAGCACATGGCACAAGTCCCAAGAAATAAGCCCTCGTGCTTTGTGTTATCAGTCTCTCTCTGCTTTGGTGTTCATCTGTGTGGATGCGCCTCTTAGGATTCTGGCAAAGGCCTCTCTTTGAAAGGTGACAACAAGGCCAAAATACACTAACACTCACACACACACTCTGTCTCTCATTCTTTCACTCACAGACAAGTGAATGAAAGTCAAGCACACACATATAGATGTTTAAGTAGATCTATATTCTATATACAAATGCCCATGTACATGCAAATAAAATGCAGGAGCGACTTACATGGAAAACTCTTTCCATCGTTAGAAAGTATGTGTGCTAGTCATATTACACTGAGTTATTCAATCTTTTGTAATTACTTTTTTGGTCATTATGTCACTGTAACTCCACATGAACTGTAGTTGTAGATCAGCTGCGAATGGGAAATGAACAATAATCCAATCTACCCATGCTTTTTGTTTTACAAATTTCTTGGGAGTAGTGAAACTGACAGTAAGGAAATGTCTCTTCAGTATAAATTTCCCCACCACAACAATCACATTGATAGATTTACAATGTCGCTAAATGATAAAACATGATTACTTTCCGAGAAGCTGCAACACCATGAATAGCTGGCTTTTGTGTGGTAATAAATGATTCATTGGAGTTTATTTATCGCGTGCTGTCTTGTCATATGAAAATGATTAACCAGCTCATTCTGATGTTTCCTTTCAGCCATATCAGACATCATTTCATTTCCTTGTGCTGCTTGATATATTTCATGTTCTAGATGTGAAACGTGTTTCATCACAGATGAGTCAGAAAATGTGTCATTTTTACTTGATCATATTGGTCTTATTTGGTCTTATTTGCACAGAGACTGGCATTAAGAGTAGTATTTATCTGGTTGTTTGTTTGTTTTTTTAATTCAGTTTGAGCTCCTCTGTGTGATCAAAACAGTTTACGATGTATCGCAGCATGAAGTTACGCAATTGAAAGTTAAATATCGATCTGCCTACAGTGCTGGTGCATCATTTGTGTGGTAGCAGGTAGATGAGATGCATCTTATGAATTAATGATTAATTACACTCTTTCAGTGTCACTTTACAGATACGAGACGTAAATATTTATTTTGAGGAACTGCAAAAACAAAAAACAAAAAAACCCTGAAACCACATAAAAATGCAGATCGAAAGCTGGAAACCAATCATTTCAGTTCAGGTTATTAAACTGTTGCATAAACCTATGTAATATTACCAAAATGCTAACACAGCCAGTTAGGAAATATGCACTTTATAGCACTCTATAGTGTGCTATAGGATCACACTTAATATAGGTGATTTTCGTTCAGAAATATGCTCAAGTAATATAATTGAATCTAAATTTGTGTTAAACAGCAATCTGTAAACATTAAAATCTGAAGGTCAGTTCACACGGACGACTCACATGAAAGAGATTTCCGATACGATCGCAGAGCATCTCTAGGCTCTGACCTCGTCACTCCGCTTGGCACAGCAGCAACCAGGGAGTGACGATAATAAATTTCTCCCTACAGAGTTTAGACTCAGAGCCTGCAGGTGGATACAGGTGGAGGAGCCTAACGCTAGCTATTAATGCAGAGTTTAATATGTGTGGGCCACAGCTGCTGTGTCACCATTGCTTCTGGTATCAACCTCAGACCACAAGAGGAATATATATAAGCCCTGGGCTAAGCACCAACCACTCTGTGACCATTCCTTAACAAAACACCCCCAACTGTTGTGGGGAGAATGTTATCAAGCAACATAAAAGCAGCAGCTCACAATGACATGTTGTATGAAATGTTATATAGCGTGGATAGCGGGAGGAGTGTGTGCATGGATGTACGGTAAGCATAAGGCTGGCAACGAGTGCGGCTGAGTGCATCGGTGCAAAGCAGAGAACAGCCGTTTAGATGTAATTATGATATGAAGAACAGTAAAACAAGCTGTCATGCAAACCCATTTGTTTGTATTGGAATGCCTTCCCAATAGGAATAAAAATATGATAATTGTATTTGCAAACAAAAAAATAAAAAGATGAGCATCTCAATGTGAGTCTCATGTTTATATTTATTTCAAATACTTTTTCAAGGAACTAGCAGCAGATTTCACTTGAAACACCCCATATAAAAGTATTTCCATTTCACTGCTACATAAATCAGTGACATATAAAAGGGGTGTCATGCATTTGTAAAGCAAAAGGCAAAAGATAAAAAAATAAGAGCAGCAATTCAAAGTTATCATTCCCAAGTGAATCTATGGCGCAGCAGTAGCAGACAGCAGCCTCGGCAATCCTATAGGCTGACGCTGATATGAAGCAAACAGAACCTAAACACATTAATGATGCTTACTTAAAATGTATTTCATAGCCTTCACATTAGCCTAACTACCAGATATTTTGGTTACTGATCTAAGTCAGTGATCTGGCATCTAAACTGCGGTAAGACATCAAGTTAACAGAAAAACTGTGCTTTTAGCTTGAGGTGTATATTTAGGCTGACAACTGATATAATGAAGAGGCAATAAACAGAGTATTGAATGATGGCAGCAGCAACAAGGAGAGCAGTGTGAACACAATTATTATTCTAAAAAGGTCTCTTGAAGCAAATTATCAAACAGTTGGCAGGGGACCGTGCTTATGAAATGCTACTGTCATGGCTGCAAGTGTTAGCATGAGGTGTGATTAAGAAACATTAACACAACGGAACGAGAGTTTAATCGAGCTTCAGTCGTGATGGTGCAAAACTAAATGGCACGTGCAAAGTAAATGTTATTTTGTATCTTAAATGAGTTTGATTTTAGATTCTGGATCAGTTTTGGATGAGCACCGCTGGCCTGTTCGATTTTTCAACAGCACTGTTGTGTTTGGAAACATAATATTAAAAATGTTATTAAAAGAACAAAAAGTAAATGGGACCATTTTTGAGTCATCAGATAATGAAGGAAATATGATCATCTTTGTTCTTATTTTTACAGATTTCCTCCATGTTTAACACATTTATGTTGCAGATTGGTGCATCATCTGTACAGCATGGCAGCGGGTAGATGAGCTGCATCTTATGAATTAAGCACTTTGATTGTTGTTTATTATGCTGAGAAATACAGACACTACAAGTGCAAACTTTGAAAAATTGTCAGGAAATATGTACTTTTTAACACAGTATTATAGTTCTTCTCTATATACAGTATTTGGCTGGTTCTCATTGTATTTATTTAAAGATATCAAGCCGTTTGTACATGTATTGAATCATGCATGAATCACTGGAATCTTTTTCAAGTTGTCCTTATTAGTTACAGTTAAAATACGCTTATCTAATTTTTTCTATTATTAAAAAAATAAATAGCAAAAATAAATATTTTAATCTCAGTTTTGGGTTACTTTAATGGAGGTTTACAAGTTATATTCCAAAAAAGGAGAAAGACATTAGGCCATCTGCCACAATATCTTATCAAAGTCATCACATGTGAAAAATCGTCTCCTCTAGATTAACACACACACTCTCTTTTTCTGTTTTGGCTGTTTCAGGAAATATGGTGAGCAAAGAGGACACCAAATGCGTTGTTCTCTCAAATTCAGATGAATCGGATTCAGAAACAGTTCCCTCACACAGCATTGACGCACAGTCCGGCTCCGAATCTGGCAAACAGCAGGTGAAAAAAAGAAACAAGGCTTTACAAGTGCGTTTTAAGGATATCTGCGAAGCTCAGAAAGAGCATCGTGCCAGACGCTCCAGGTCCATTTCCTGTAAAGTTACCCACAGAAAGTACATGACAATGCCTGCCCGGCGATCTATTCCTAACGTGACCAAGAGTACTGGTGTCCAGACTTCACCAGATCTTACAAAACGGTACAAGACTTTCCCATTTGAAAGGAAAAAAGGACACACCTTTAAACATGCTGCTTTGGTGGAAGAGTACAGAGGACAAAACAATGGATTTTTGAGTGACATAAAAGCAGTAGGAGATGATGGACAACCTACTGGGGAGTCATCTAAGTACAAGGGTAAGATTGTGGGGCAGACAAAAGCACTGCTTCACCACACTGATGACAGCAGTGATACAGAGGATTTGCTTTCCAGTGCCAACTGTGTGGATGGACCCTCACATTTCTCAGAAGAGGGTCATCCTACCAGCTCTCCTTCCAAAAGTGAACCAGAATACAAGGTTTGTGGGACAAGGACCAAACACAAAGGATTACCCAAAGAAGACATGGATGCCGGCACTTCCTCAAAGCGCCAGCTAGCTGACTCAGAGTTTTCGCAGGACAAGCCAAAGGGCACAGGCCCTGTTGCATGGAACTCTTTGACACAGGTGGAGTCTTTAGGAAGCCCCTCTGTGAGCTGTAAACGGAAAAAGGATACACAGCTAAATGAGCAGCAGTCTCAGACACTTCCCCATAGTGCCAAATGTTCTTTAAAGTCGCAAGGGCAGTGTCGGACAAGGCATGTGTCAGCCTCCTCTAAACTCCAGCGAACACATGGGGGTGACGAGGGCTTTCCTCTAGGAGCCACGGGCATCGGGAGCAGCCAGCAGATAATAACCTTATCTGGAGACAAGGATATCAAAGCACAGCTGCAGGCCATGGAGAGTCTCATCAGTTCAAGCCAGGAGACCATCAAGGTCCTTCTTGGAGTTATTCAGGAGCTGGAGAAAGGTGAAGCTCAGAGAGAGGGGTGAGTAGAGTAATGTTTACAGTGAAAATGTTTGTGAAATGTTTGTGAAATCTCCACATGAAACCTATATAGTATATCATCAAGTATATCATCCTTATACTGCCTTCTGTTTGGATGTCAGTCACTATCTGATGTGTAGCCAAGTGCACAGCCATTGAGGTTACAGTGTTCCACACATAATTTTTTGACTATCAACAGTATGCCACCCAGGATCTTGGTGAATCACATTTTGCAATAGCTATCAGTGTGAATGCACATTTTCTTCAAAAATATGGATGTGACTAAGAGGTTTCTAGAACAATATATCTCTGAATATTTTAAAAGTAAAAAACGAGAGGAAAACAATATCTGGTGTGTTTTTAAGAAATGTGAATGGTGTTATTGGGAAGCATGAACTTGCACTACTCTTAGGTGTGGTAACACTTGACTTTTGGCATTAAACAGAAAGTTCAACTGTAGTTGATGGGAATGCCATTAGTCCTTCAGTCACTTTCACAGCAGCACAGTTGTAAAAACCTGTGCTCTATCACAACACAAAGCAAATTGTATTTAAGTTTCATCCACATCCAGTGGTGAACAAGGCACCCTGGTGTGACTCTGAGGAGCTTGGTTTTAAAGGCCCAATTAGTACAGCCTCATAACACGTTGCCTTTCATCTTCACAAAACTGTGCCTGCTGTAGTGATTTCACTGTGCTGTGCTCCAGCATTGTGCTCGAGTGTTATTAGAGAAGTGCAGTTACGGGACACAAAACTATTATCCTTATTTTGTGTTGTTTGTGTCAGTTATGCTTCCTTGAACCAAAAAGCAACTTAAAGTTTCCCCCTTTTTTAACCAGCATATATAATGTCCAACACAATGTCTGCTCTTTATTAAACCTGTACTGTATGTCATTTGTGGTTTTAGCAAGGTGTTAGAATAATCTAATCACTTTTTATTTACTTTTCAGCAAAAGTAAAGTGTTTTTGAGAAGCGACTTCACGGTTTACTCTGGAAATAACATTATGGCAAAAAAAATTTATTTTTTATTTTTTTGGAGGGGATTTTACTTTCTCTGCGTCATCTGTTCAATGAGACAATCCCAAACATAAACCAAAAATATGCAAAAGTACAGTAGGAGCTTTGATTGATGCATTTCCCCGTGATCTGTTTCACATCTTCTTAATTTTCATGATATCACAGTTTATTTTGGATACTTTTCAATGACAGCCTATGAAGAGGAAGTCCCATCAATGCCACATGTTTCACTTCTCTTATGGTTTTCCAGACCTTAACCTCAGTGACATGTGATGCTTATTGTTAAACACTTATGAATGTGCTAAAAAAAAACACACAAAAAACCCCCATATTAACAGTCAGAATATATAGCTCAGTATTTTTCTCTTATATTAATCTAACTGTTATAATATTTGTCTACTGGCTTCATACAGTTCTGAAAGTCACTTCCCCAGCCTTGTTCAGGAAACACTTTCATTTCTCCACACAAAGATGTGTGTAGAACACAGAATAACACTGTATATAAAAAGTGGCATTTGAAACATGGTGGCTTGACCTAGTGAAGCTTCTGTTCGCATGTTATGCATTTCTCAGGCAGGCAGAGCAGCAGGCACGTAGGCAGGGGGGTGTAGTGAAACTAGAATGATGAGGCCAGGACATATCCCAGGACAGCTGACGTGGGCAAACAACACAGCAGTGAATCTGTGCCAACAAGCAGTCGGCTTAAAGAAAGACTTTCAAAGGTGCCGGGGTTTTTTGTTTTTTTTGGTTGTTTTTGTTTTTTCCATGAAAAATCTATGAAGATCTTTTCTGTGTCACTGTGGTTTAATACAGAATCACAACAGTGAAGCGTGAACATTAGACACTGAATACAAAAAGGGGTGTTGTGCTGAGCACATGCACTGATTGTAAATTTAGGTTAATACACTTTTATTATTAAAGCAACTCTTCTTAATGATATGGGAGTACATGAAAACCTAGGCAGCAGTGTAGCACTAGAGTAGATCTATTTTCTGTGTAGTCAGTTACTGCCCTTGCTCACAGCTGTTCAAAGAGACTTTACTTGAGAACAGGACAGGATGGATGAACTCAGTGACCTTGAGCTTCCATCAGCATTTTCGATCCATGAAGAAGCCCTTCTGTCTCCTCCGATGAGGTCACCTTTCATGTCACGGTGAACATTTGAGGTGCAGCTCTTCCCCGTGTCATCCATCAGGTACAAAGGGCTAGCGTGACAGCAAGCAATTACATGTGTGGCTCGAAAACAAAATATCCTATCATTCCCATCCCACGCGGTCCAACAGTCTATTCAGCGACATATTGCCAATAACAAAAAGCCCACCTGCATGCTCATCTAAACTCAAATGATGAAACAGAAACTAATGAAAGTCAGAGAATGCCACACTAACAAAAGTCATTGGATATTTAGTGTGTCCTCTTTAGCATGTGCACATTTTGTATGAGCCTTATGTGCCACCTGGCTTGCAGCTGGTGTTTGCAGAGGGCTTCCAACATAAAAACAACAGACAACACAGCCTGGGGGCAATACACCTCAGCCACAAACGGAGCAGATACAGTGCTGTTTATTGCATTTTGAAAAAGTATGTCTGTAACAAGTTGACCTTTATGGGAAAGATGTACTGTGTGCTGTAGCACATAATGTAAAGATATCGATTTTTTTTATTACACAAGAGCTGCATTTAGTTGTTTCCTCCTATTGCCTATAGACAATTCAAAGTATGTCATGGCAAAGCAAGGTAATCCTATTATGTTAAATCAGCAAGTCTACACGCTTGATTAGCCAAATCTGAGAGAACTGCAGGATCAAAATCCCCGCTGCATTTTCAACTGTTAGCAAAGAGCAACCCTGAGTGAAAACAAACCTGAGCAAATCTGTGTGATAGCCGATGCCCACAGGTGTTGAAATATGAAGGCGAAGCCTGTCACTGGAGCTCACGTATATCTTTCCATCTCTCCCTTCACAGGCTCTCCTACCGAACAGGACAAGACACAGCAAATTGTGACACTTGTCGAAACAGCGCCTGCATCATTTACAGGTGGGCTTCTTGCACTGTCTGTACAACGCATTGAATCAATTTGAAAGGGGTCCTTACGAGACTCATCTGGCGCAGTCATGCATTAGTGTCCAGAAAATGCAAAATCAAATATACTGTATGCACAACATTGCATCTAGAGTGGTTTGACTGAGGCAGAAAATCTGAAGAGTACTGAAAATGTTAAAGTCAAATCTTTTAGGTGTGACATTAAATGGAATTCAGAAGAGAGGAATCATAAAATACACATCAAGGTCACGGAAGAAGTACAGATGTAATACCGCTGACAGTGCTGTGTATTGGGTGTTGCTTTGTTTTACAATACAGTGGATGATGGCTCCAATATTATTTGCAGAGGTTTCTGGGAAATATACGAGTTGGTATGACAGAATGAGTAACAATACACAACAGTGGGAAGTGAGTTGTATATAAAGTAGGAAATACTGTGATCCCATCACAGAGTATGTGAGGAGCTCAAATAAAACATACTTGGAAACTCCAAATGCTTTCTTCCGAGTCCAAAGTGTATGTATTCTCATATGTTCTAAGTGTAAAAAAAATGTCTCAGAAGCATGAGGAAAATCCACTCGTGTCATTTGTCACTTCTATCTAAAAGTGTCTACTGCTATACCTCGCTGTTACCTTGTTCTCCAAAATTGTGAAACATGAAAGTGTTTGGAAAATGCTCTTATCCCCAGAAAACACACTGACCTCTGAGACCTCCCAGTTTTTTCATATAGGCATGAGTCAAAGAAGCTTAAAAAACAAACAAACAAAAGAAACACCATCACATTTTTTGCAGATTTCAACTTTACCTTTTTTAAAAATATATATATATATAAAAGTTTGTTGCCATATGGAAATGTTCCTTCCCACTTCTGCTTCATACTTCCCCTTTTGGACAATAGACTCTATACATAAGATAATGTTGGTAGCCCATTTATACTCCACTGATCTTCTGAATTATTTTGAATATGTTCCTGATATTTACAACACCAGGAATATTTGAAAGTGATTTGGACAAAGAATTAACACTGCCTTGGACCGGATTTTCTCTTCGTGTAACATTTCCTGCAAAATCATACCAACTCTGCTTATTTGAAGAGTGCATTGTGTCGAGTTGGCCCGGACTGTGGTGACAGGACCTAAAAACAGGAACTTAGTTACATGTAGGCTACTAGAGGAAGAAAAATAACAAACAACAACAAAAAGGCCCTTTAAAAAAAACACATTAGTTCTGGACTGGCATTCAACAGTGTCACATTCACATCACCAGTTTGCATATGCTTAACATTTGATTAAAAACACAAGATATTGCTTGTGCAATTGCAGATTCATATTTCATTCAAATTATCATATCTAACATTTTACAAAAGTCCAGAGTCACCCCTCATATCTATACAGTGGTCTTGAACAACACTTCTCCAGCCTTTCTAAAGAGGTTTTGAAGTTTTTCTTTGCTTTTTCGTTCATTTTCAGTCTATTTCTTGTACTTAAGAAGAATATATTTTTGCCTGACCTGTGAATCATTCAAACATAAAAAAGGCACCTAACTCTAGGGACATACCAGTGTTGTGTCTACACATAACAGACAACCCTATTTTACATTTTTATCTTTAGGCACTTTATTGGTAGCAGCCTGTCACAAAAACGCACAGCTTGCTCCCATATCTTAAGTTTAATGTATAAAAAATGTCAAAAGACACAGTTTGACAGGCATAAAAGGGAAACGGCGATAAAAGGCTGGGGAGTGCCAAATTACACAAGGTCTTACGACAGGTCTTACAGAAGTATAAAAATTATGAACACAAAAAAGTTCTGTCAGAAATTTCACCCCCCACGCAACAGCATCTGGAAAACACCTGATTGGCATCGATTTCAGTTTTCACCAAGGCAAGGATCCTAACCGCCCTGCCAATACAATTAAAGCATACCTGGGTAGAAAAACACATACTGGTACAGTATCAGTCGTGGACTGGCTTCAACTTTATTGAAGCAGTAAGAGTATCTTGATAGAGAACAGAATAAAATGTCATTCAAATCCAAAAGAACTTCAAGAAGAAAATTGAGTTCAACCCCATTTCTCGGGAGATTATTAGACTTTAATTTCATTCGCACGTATGGTAAATTGATAGGTGTCAGCAGTTAGAATTTTAAGGCTATCTTTATTACATCTGACCTGAAGGGAGCCTTCAGTCTCATTTATTGATCCTGGAAGGGATTGTGCATGCCAGGCTAAGTTTTTGCAGTTTTTAAACAGATGGTTTTCAGGGAAGGACACACACTACTCATCCATGCATTTGTATAGCACCTAAAGAAATCAAATTAAACAAGACCCAACTGGCTGGTAAGAGAAGAACTGTTGTCTTCCCCCAAACACTTCACTGCCCTCTTCCTCTTTCCACTCAAATTCAGACCCCTCTCTTAGTCTAAAGCACTTCACTGAGCTAGAAAATGGAAGAGGAAAAAAGAACTGAGTCATCTTTCTTCAAAGAGAGGAGTAAACAACCTCAGAAAAAAAAAATCAGTAAATATGAGAAACCCTGGAAAGTGTGGATCATTTTGTATTTTAAAAACAGTTTTATTAGGCTAATAAGTAGGAAGATTTTGTCTCATACTGATCTAGTAGAAATACAGGCAGCTGATTGTCTTGTAAACCCCGCCAAGCCCTGGAGCTCTCTCTTGCTTCATGTTTTCTTTCTATGATTCTCCTTCTTTGGGAAGGCTCTTCTTAGTTATTCTAGGAAATACTTTCTGGAAATCTGCAGAAAATCTAGGTGCCAAGGAAAACACAAGTGCTATCCTCCTATTGTTTCGGTTTTTAAATTAAGCTTGAATTTTGTGTGCTGCGGCTGACAGGATTACATAGAATGAATAAGGCTTGTATTACTCTATAGCCACTACACTATGCAGTCATTATTTAGTTCAAGTAAAATGAAAAACCAGTTTACTGTCAGATTAAATTAGTTAATTATTGGTGATCTTTAATAACAATTTAAATTTCTGAAGTTTATATCTCCTTTTATCACTAAATGAATGCCAAAGTCACTATTTCCCTCAAACGATGTTTGTATTTGTTCTTTGTGTTTTAGCACTTTGCAATACTGGCATATTCACAATACTAGCAATAGTAACATTGCTGACAAAGTAACATATAATCAAATAATATAAGTAATATATACCTTCACCCTCCAGTTACAGTTCCATAATCTTTAAATTTTAGTGAGACAACTTATATTTAAAATTAAGTAGCGAAAACAGAGTTTGGCATCTAAGCTCATCTCTATCTCTCCCTCTATTCAGACACATTCAGACTAGGGAGTTATAAGCAAACATCCCCTGGAGCCTACAGATAGATATTCGGGTGGTGGAGGGGTTGAAATAGCAGATGGTGGGATAGGTTGAGGCACATAAGTCTGTGCGAAGAGAAATGAAGCTGAAGTTGTCTAAGCTAGTCCATAGACTTCACCCCATAAATCCTACATGGAACGTACGGGAAAAACAATAAATGCTAAATAATTGAACATCCTCTGGTTTTAAGAGGTTTACAGAGAGTAGTATAGATCTGTCATTTCTATTATTCTATTAATAGATCATTACTACAAGTCTATAAATGTAAAGATGTATATGAATTTTGCAATATTATGATGAAGAACGCATCATGGACTCATTCAAGATGTGAACTGAGACAAAGACAGATTTGTAAACATATATCATCTTTTGTTCATCCTTCTAGGTACATACACTAACCACACACTTTATTAGTTACACTTCTAGTAACAGGTTTGACCTGCTTTTGCTTTCAGAGCTCCCTTTATTCTTTTGGGATAGATTCAACAATTTGCTAAAAACACAGTCAGAGATTTTGGCCCATGTTGACATGAAAGCATCACACAGATGCTGCAGATATGTCAGCTGCACATGCATGAAGTGAATCTCCTGTTCAACCACATCCCAAATGTGTTCTTTTGGACAAAGATGTGATGTCTGTGGAGGCCATCACAGTGAACTCATCGTCATGTTCAAGAAATCAGTTTCAGATTATATGAGCTTTTTGATAGGATGAGTTATCCTCCTGGAAGCAGCCATCAGAAGATGATATGCTGTTGTCATAAAGGGATGGACATGGTCAGCGAGGCAGGCAGTGGCATTTAAACGATGCTTGCAGGTAATAAGTGGCCCAAAGTGTGCCAAGAAAATATCAAAAAAACGATTACACCAAAAGCGCAAGTCTAAAAAAATAGATATTAGGCAGGGTTGATCCCTGTTTTCATGTTGTTTATGCAAGACTCTGATCACATCATCCAAATGTCAGAGCAGAAATCAAGACTCATCAGACTAGGAAATGTTTTTTTATCCCTCTTGCCAAGTTTAGGTGATCTTGTGAAATTGTAGCCTCAGTTTCTTCTTTTACACTGACAGAAATGGCACCACTATGGTCTGCTGCTATTGTACCCTATCAAAGTTCAACGTGACAAATTCAGTGAGGCATTCAGAGGTGTTTTGCTGAAAACTTGGAACAAGCTGTTATCTGAGTTACTGTTGCCTTCCTATCAGCTTAAAGTATTTGGGTTTCTCACTAGACAAACTAGTTTTTCTTTTTTAGACCATTCTCTGTAAACATCGAAGATGAAAAGTCCCAGTAGATTAGCAGTTTCTCAAATACTCAGACCAGCCCATCAGGTACCAAGAACTGTGGCATGTTCAAAGTCACGTAAATCACCTTTCTTCCCGATTCTGATGCTCGGTTTGAATTTAAGCAGGCTGTCTTGATCGTGTCTACTTGCCTAATTGCATTGAGTTGCTGCCAAGTGAGGGCTTGTTGTTATGATTATTATTCTGGCTTCACTTTTTATCATTAGCACCCAGCTGAACAGATGTGAGTGTATGTATGGTATTACAGGTGATCTCTTGTGGTAAAGCCTTTATACTGCAGTTTGTATGTCGATTTGTTTCTTTATCGACTAGACAGGCCTTTTCATTCATTTTAACTACAGACTAGTCTCCCAGGCTAGTCCAGGAATCTTCAAGCTGCGCAGTGGAGGGATCTCCTGTGACTGACACATAAAGACACATGGTCAGGCAGTGATTTAGGAAGAACTTGATTTGCTTTTGCATTGCATTTTAATTGGCAGAGCAGCAGCATTTTAAATATCGCTTGATCATGCTCATTTAATTGTGGGAAGCTAAAATCGTGATCAAGATTAAAATTTGGTCCATTATGCAGCCCGAGTATCTAAGTGTGAAGCAGGAAGGCCTCTGCATAGAAGAGCAATTTGAACTGTAGAGCATAATTTCTCTTTTTTAGTTCACTGATGGTATCTCGATAAGACAAAGTTGTGGCATTTCTATATGTCAGCGAAGCAACTTGGCTTAATTAACAAACTCTAAGAAAAATTAAATGGCAAAAACATTGTCTTCAGCCTATTGTCAGTAAACCAAAGCAGGCAGTATATGGTAATAAAGCTGCAATGATGATGCACTCTGCAGAGTGACGGTAAAACGGAAGATTATCATTTCATCTGTGCACTATATCATTACATTTAGTTTGTTTGTTGTTGTTTTTTGGTTAATCTAACTTGGTTAGTTCTGGT